AGCTAAAATCATGTGCTCCCAGTGTTCTTCTGTTTGTTTTATTTAGAGATGATAGTGATTTCTAGATTTTACAATATCAACCAAAGAATAGATATTGTATTAAAAATGTTTATGGTTGGTGCTGTGGCAAGACAAACCTCCTGTTAACCTATCATATCACATTCTGTTTATATGTGTGACCTTTTATCCTTAGTTCAGTCATATATAAACTCTTTGTGGTTATATAAATCTTTTTCAGTGTTTGGATGAAAAGGATTATATTACCAGAGGTGAGACGAATAAAGTGAGAAAATTCCCCTGATGCCTCAGGTCATTTGTAATATACACAGAAGTGAAGTGGATACACTGTGAGTAATGTGTGTGTTGTGTCTTTCTCTAACAATAAGCATTTTTCTCTGTGAGGTTAATGGGTATGAGTGTGTGTCTGTGTGCATGTCGTGCTAGGGCCACATTAGAGAATGCCTTTCAAGCCATGTCGACCTCCAACTCCCTTGCATAGCGTGTGTTGTGGTCTATTCAACAGCCAACCCCCCAGAACCCCTGCGAACTCTGTGTGCACACACATATGAATGTGTATCTGAGGTTGTAGGGTTATTCCCAGTGTGTGGGGTCCCCAAAAATCCTGTCACATTTTTCTTTTGTGTCCCTCTCCATGTTTCCACCACACCTCCTCTCTCACATCAATGTGTCTCTTCGTTTGTGATTAATACAGTAGAGATCTGTCACCTCCACGTTGCTATGATAAGTCTGCAGCTCTGCCCCCATAAAGTAGGCTGTGACAATCTTGGGGCCTGGTCCCATCCTCCCCTCCATACATACACACACACACACACACACACACACACACACACACACACACACAAAACCCTGGCTCTTTGATAACCATGCCAATTGCTCCAAGCATGCACTAACAAATTTCAGCACACTAGCTTTTACTGCAGATTGGGTTCATAATAAAAGGTTAGGTAATGTTTTGATTGTTACCAAATAGAACACATGCTAACACATTATTGCTATAACACACCATGCCATTGTGCTTTGCTGTATGTACTATCTGAATGTGAGCTGAAGACTGTATGTACATTTTTTTATATGAGCTGTCAGTATCTTTACAACCCCTCTCTCCACATGCATGATAGTGGCTACCTACTGTGACATAATACAAGATGTTTAAGCTAATGAAATCTCTCAGCAGTGTGTCAGCCTTCATTAGGTTATGTTTCTTTATTCCACAAACATATCGGCCCATTACTCTCACCTGAATTATTTTACTGTTTTCACTGTCTCTTACTAAAAAATAGTCTAATTCAGAGAAAACATGGTAACTTTAATACAGTAACTAGTTGCATTGTAATTAGAGAAAACTGTCCTGAGAGTGACCTGTCATTGGAGGTGCTTAATTAGAGAAAACTGTCCTTCTGAGAGTGACCTGTCATTGGAGGTGCTCAGTGTAGGTGCAGGTAAATGCAAAACGTATCCCCTCAAAGTATAAGCAGATTACTTTTTGGTATTTTGCTTTGGCAGACTAGCAAATTAGTTCCATTAAGTTGTAGTTTTTTAAATGGCTGTTACGTTTTCAATTTAATGCAAAAAAGAAGTAAGAACAGAAGTCAAACTACATTGCTGTAGTTTTTACAATTGATTTGAGTGAAATTTCACAACATTGCAGAATTGTGTATAAAGGAATCCTTTTATGTATGAGCTGCACAAAACTGTAGAGCAGTCAATTGATTAGTTGATCAATAGAAAATCGGCAACAAATTCTAATGATTCTTTTATTATGAGTGTTGTAAATATGTGTCTTAAATATTTTGCATCATGGACAGAATAAGCAATTTAAACATTGAAACATGGGCCGTGAGATTTTGTGTTAACTCTTTTTTTTTATTTACTTTTTTTTCTAGTATTTTAAGGACCAAACCATTAATCAAGAAAATAATTATCAGATTTATTGATAATAAACTCGATCTCGTCTATCAGATAAGTGTAATTTAACAGTGTTATGGATCAGTGCATCTTAAAATATGCATTAAATGCTAGTACTGAATTATTGTGCCAGCCCTAGCTGGCCCCAGTATCAGGCAGTAATAACTTTGAAAAGACTGACAGAGCACATGAAAGACTATGTTAGGCTTTAGTGTTACTTCCATTCTTTTTTGCAGAGTGTAAAATTTCACACATTCAGATGTACAATCCTCTGTGTATACATACCTTTCTGGTTGTGTGGACAAATTTTAATTCAAAACCAATGAGCATATTTTGGCCAGTCTTCACAACTTTAAACGGCAGTTTGAGGGATAAGACTGGGTTTAAGGGTTAAGAGTTAGGGTAAGGGTTGGGGGCAGACATGTAGTCATGATGGTTAACATAACATACGCAAGTGACCTCACAACTTTATTCGTGTGTGTGTGTGGCCATATGCATTTACAAACACCTATACACACTTGTGTGTCTGTGTGTATAGTTTGTATTTCCACACTATGTATCTGTGTGGCTACATACCTGCTGTGCTGAATTGACTGGGCCCAGTCAGCATGAGTAAGCAGCCAGGGGAAGACTGAGGCAACTAAATGCGGTGGCCCCAGGCTACCGAGGATATCATTCCCCTGGGTGTGTAGCCGGCCAAAACAGGAACCCCAAGCAGAGTTTCATCAAGGTGGACCCCCATCTACAGCAAGGGGGAGGATACCAGTTAACCTGTTGTCCTGCAGTGAGCATCGGTATTAAGCAGCAGGTGGAAAGAGAAAGCACCCCGTGACTGGAATGAGGTGGAAGCAGGAAGGTGTGCAGATACTTAAAGGGTAACATGCAGACACGCACAAACTGTGTAAGATTCTCTCTTTTGATTTCCCTTCCCTGCTTGTTCACAACTACAAATGAAACCCTGTAGTGTCTTTGCATGTGCATGAACTTTTATATTCTTATTACTAACCCATGCGTCCAACTTTCCAGCTTCATTTCTGAAATATAAATGTATCTCTGAACATTTCCATTCAAAGGAAATAGCCAGGATATTTTTGGTGTAGGACTGGCAGAACACCGTGATGCATGGCTTCTGGCAATGACATCAATGGAATCTTCATATGGGAATTGGACCGTCTCTCAGTGAGGTGGCCCATAGGACATGAATCATGCTGCCTTGCTCCAGAGTGCTGTGGTCCCGGGGGCTGACAGTTTGACTGCTCCTCAGTGTGGTCTCTCTCTTTTTCACGCTCCTCCCATCTCCATCACCACACATTCCGACCACCGGACCGGTCACGTAAGGCCAAGGAAATAAAATGGAATGGAGCAGAGCAGAATAGAAGTTGTTTCTAATGTATCTTCACAGTGCTGCATTTTCTTTTTCACATCCTGAAGCGTGTTTGCACTTTAAAGGCCACAGTTTGTGACGGGGAAGACTGATAGATGCCAAACAAAAACATGTGAGAAACAAAGCTTTACAAACTGTCATAGAGAGAGAGAGAGACTGAAGGGTCTGAAAGAAGCATATTCTTGTGTGTTTTTGTTTACAGCTTGTCTGTTTTGGCAGCTCAGACATGGAGCTAGTCTGGCAGTCTGCCTGTCTGCTTCTCTCTGGTCTCTCCTCTATACTGCTGGGACACTGATGTTAGGTTAACTACAGCTGGTTGTTAACCACCGATTTGGACCGAATCTCACCACCATGTGTTTAATTTAGACTAGTTATAGAATGAAAACTAAAGTTGTATATCATAAACACTTTTAAAACAAAAAAGGAAAGATGATACAAAGGCAGATGTGGCAGTAATGTAGGAAAGGCTAGAAATTATTATAATAAAATTACTGTAGCGTTTCCCCAGATTTGTTGCTTTTAAATTGTAGAAGTGAGTTCATCAAAAGCTTAGATGAGTCCAAGTGATAAATGGCTGTTCATCCGGTGCAAGTGCGGCTATTGACTGAGTGGTGTTAACAGTGCCCCAGGCCATGATCCAGCCGAGTTAAACACACCCTGACATGTGTGTGTGTGTGTGAGAGAGAGAGGCGACACGTCTGAGGGTGTGATGTAGTCACTTCCTCCCACTGGACTGAGCAACTGTTGTCAGCATGACCCTGCGCCAGTTAACCCCTCTCCACCCTTGGCACTGCGGGTGAGGGCCCCCTGGTGTGTGTGTTTGAGAGGACGAGAAAGACAGATTGTGTATGTATGTGAGTGTATAGCGTGTGTGTTGGCGGACCACAGGTGTCTGGTCATGGTGTCAAAGTGTTAAGAGGTCTTCAGAGAGGCCCCCGTCTCTCAGCATCTGTTTCTGAGGCGGGTGTGGCAGAAAGGAGGAGGAAAGGTTGGCAAGGGTTACCAACACATACCCTGAGGGGTGTGGGGGGTTGTCGGGGGGCAGTGACTGACAAGCAGGTGCCTGTGTTGACAGTAACCCTTCATACATGAACCCCAAACACATGCCGCACACACTTGCATTATATGCCGGAGAGTCTAGTATAATTGCAGAGCCTGATTGGAGTGAATGAAGAGGGAATCCCCTTTTACTCACACAGAAACACACGTCACTAATCTCTTTGCTTGGGGGTCAAAAGTGAGAGAGAGGAGAGTACACTCCCTGCTGACTGTGTGTGTGTGTGTGTGTGTGTGTGTGTGTGTGTTTTATTTGCGTACACAATGAGCAGTATTTCCACACATGCAGACCATGTGAACATATGCTCCAGCTACATCAGGGGAATTGGCACAGACTTGTTTCCTGTTATATTTCTTTTCCTAAGACAGTGTATACTTAACATACATACAGCATGCAACAGTAATGTAAAATCTGCAGCCTTTATGAATTACATTTTTGTGATTTCTAAATAGTATTTGTAAATGAAACCCATCAGACTGAATGTTAGGCAGTCAGGTGTACCGGTGCATGTCTGGGAATGATTATTTTGGTAGGAAAGGGAGGAAGGCGGCACACAGCGGGAGGTTGGGGAAAATTGGCACAGCTGTTGATTAACATGAGTGCTCTCTCTCTTTTTTTTTTTTTTTTTTTTTTTTGAGGAGGAAGAGGAAGATGAGGAGATAATGGAGGCGAAGCCAGGTCCAGACTCAGAGCAGCAGGATGAAGATGACAACAGGGAAACCAAAAAAGGTACAAAGGGTGAATGAATAATGGGAGAGGAAAATGGTCAGCGTTAACATTTTTAACATCTCTAGTCACCTCATTAATTCAGTGGAAGTGGACGTTATGTTACATTCAGTAAATTCTCTCATGTGTAAGTTAATTTATGTTGAAGTTGTTCTCCCAGTCACTACACACAACCCATTCTTTATTCTCCAGTCTCCTCCTTCCCTTGACTTTTCACATGTTGCTGGTAAAAGTGTCACGAAACACGGTGACTTGTGTGTGAGACCCTCTGCCAATCAGTGGGTGTATCAGATGGGAGTGGATTACAGTTGGGGTGAAGGCGGATCTAGCATATCAGCTCCATGGTATGTAGGGGTCAGCACTGATTAGAAACCTGTCACTTGACCCTCTGACCGCACTTCAAAGTGGAGAAGATTGGAGAAGTGTGTGTGCGTGCTTATGTGGGTGATTCTTGTAGTAAATAATAGAGAAAAGACACAGGGCTCTTGGGTGAGTTAAAATACAACACGACGGACATAGGGATGGATATTCGTGTTCAACCACTCAGGCATATCCGTGAGTGTTCTAAGTGTGTGTCAAACACAGACTAAGGCAGATATGTGCACATGCACTCATAAACACAGTCATCAGTCTCTACTCCACGCTGACCTATTAAAAGGTCTGGCCTTTGATCTCTGCCACTCGATTCGCTGGGTCTTTTCTGACAACTCCTAAGAAATACAAAGGGATGGGGGATCAAAGTCAGGAGGCAGGGTAAAAGGTGATATATGTGCATTTGTGCATGCTTGTGTATGGAAAATCGCATGTGTTTTGGGACAGTGACTTCAAAAACTGGACACCGTGCTGTGCAGCCATTATGTTCAAAGGGAGGCGGGTTGCTCAGAGGGCTTTGTTTTTCTCTTGTTTATGAAGTTCTTGCTGTAGGGTTTTATTAGAATAAATGCATTAGGAACTGTTTGTAGTTTATTATATCCTGGATGTGGTTTTGTTAGAGATGAAGTGAATATTAATCTGACATCGGAAGCACATGATGTGCAGTACTTTTAAGGCTTGTTGTAGCAGTGGAAATGACAGCAGTGCATGTGAGATTTGTAAATTATGACAGAGGGTTTTTCAGTTCGATATTTGTGTTATTTTCTGTAGTTAGGAGTAGACTATAACAATGTCAGCTACAGTAGAAAAAACAGTCATGCCTCACTTTGTGGCTCTTAACCCTTTCACTTTAAAAGAACAAAAACTAAAATTTTCTTTGAAGGTGACATGTAATTGGGACCCACTATTCTTTCTTCCATGTTGAACAGAACTGACACTGCTTCTGATTTGTGATGCAAAATGACATGGACAAAAATATTGGGACTCTTAACCTAATAGTTTGTAGCACCCCTTGTGGGGCAATCACTGCAATCAAGTGCCTTAATGAGACAGGTACACTTGTCAACTGGTAGTTTGGCCCAGTTCTTGAGCAAACTGCTCCATTTCTCAGGTTCGATGGGTGCCTTCTCCCATCTGTAACTTTTAGCTCTTTCCATAGATATTCAGCTGGATTAAGATGAGGAGTCATACCAGACCACTTCAGAACCGTCCCGTCTGTACTTGCTGCTTTTCGATGGATGTTTTGGGTCATTACCCTGTGGAGGAGCCATGAACTGCGACTGTGACTCAGCTGTCTGACACTGGGTTGTACGTTTCTCTCCAGAATGTCCTGATAATCTTCCCTGCACTGATTCAAGGCGCACCCTGTGTCAGATGCAGCAAAGCAAGCCCACAACATAACTGAGCCTCCTCCTGTTTCACAGTGAGGACGGTGTTCATTTCTTTGCAATCTTCATCCCTACGTCTGTGAACATAGAGCTGATGTGACCAGAAGATCTCATGGTGTTTTACTGGTCCACAGGACAATTCTCCCAGATGAACTGTGGCTTGTCGGAGTGCATTTTAATAAACTCCAGTCAGTTTGTCTCTCTTCTTCCATGGAGCCCCCCCACTCCCCCACCCACCCCACCCCACCCCTTCATTCTTTTTTCCCATTCAAACTATTTTTTTTGTTTAATCTGTGGGTAATTTTGCAGCTATGTTCAGGGAGGTTGAATTGTTGGCTTGGTAAACATCTTAATATTAGAAACAGTGGTCACAAGAACATCAGTCACCTTAGAGATGGCCTTGTAGCCTTTACCCTGACCATGCTTGGTAATAATTCTCTTGGTAATAATTTTATCCTCAGACAACATTTTTCTCTTCATTCTCTTGTGCAGTGCACACAGTGACACCAAACTGCACAATAAGTACTTTTCTCCAGTACACTGAATGGCTGGTACTGCTACCAATTGAAGACAATAGCTTGGTATATCACTACAGTCAACTTATCACCACATAATCTATTTTAAAAGATTTCAGAAGAACAAGCAAAAATTCAGCTCTCATGTGTTTAATATGTTCAGTGTTTTTCCAACAGGCTCATTTCCAGTGCTGAGAGAGCTGACGGAGGAGGAGAGGCAGCAGATCCTGCACTCTTCTGAATTTCAGAGTTTCTTTGACTGCAGCATCCGTGTGATGGAGAGAGCTTTGGCTGAGGACAGCAACATCTTTTTCGACTACAGTGGCCGAGACCTGGAAGACAAAGAGGGGTGAGCAGGGAGGAGGCAAGATGGGGCAGGAGGCAGGATGTGTTTGGATGTGAGAGCACATGTGTGTTTACTTGGATGCCTTGAACTAAGAAATGTGCTAAGACTGACTCGTGCCCCCTCTTTCTACTCCATGGGCCTGGGAGCTCCTTTGTTCTTCAAAGTACATGTCTTCCTAATGATGTCACACTCTCTGGGTTAAAAACCCCTGTTCACTGACAACCATCACAACTGAAAGAGCACTGTCTTACCATCTGAGGGGCTATCTCCAAATGGAGGTTATCAGAGTGTTAGTTGAAGTTGTAAGAGTCATAAGTGCAAACCTGTTTTAGTATGCTACGCTGTTATTATAGAAGAATGCTGCTTTTACAGCTCTACAACATTGACCACTCAGCCACTGAGGAACATCAAGCCTGTGGTCAAACAGAGATTATGTCTAAAACAGGTCATGGCCCGGTGCTCAACATGGAGTCCCCTTGTTTTTCCACTGACATGCTTTTTTCCGAGAATGTAGCAACTTCATTTCACTACCTTGGTTCTGTGCTGTTAATTTTCACATAGTATGGCACACAAAGAAGATATCATCAAGATTGTTATATCAAATTTGTTCTGATTTACATTAAAATATCCTCTCTCCTGCCCTTCAGATGAATGTGGTGACTTTCTCTTACTGAGCGCCGTAAAGATTACAGCTATGATTTTTTTGTAGGCCAACCCAGAAGTTATCACCCAATGAGGCCAATGGGACTTTTCCATAGGCTTTTGGATTATTGCAGAAACTCTCACATTTTCTTCATAAGATAATCTTCATAAATCAACACCATTTTTATAATTTTTGAAACCTAAATACAATTGCCAGAAGTAAAAAGCTATTTTTTTGGCTATAAACGAATTACACCGCGGTCCCATGATTTCAGCATCACCACCGTAGCTTCCAACATGCAAGTTGATTTATAGTGCCTACCTCTTCTACAAAATCCTTTCCTCTTAGCGTGACCTGATTTAGCTAGTGTTCATGGCTGTTTCAGTTAGTTTGAAAAGTTTGCAAGTACACAATTTAAAAAGTAACAAGGCTCTAGAGACGGACTTTGAGTAGATACATTTCAGTATTTGGTGTGATGACAGTTAATTTTACAGACAGCCTATGTAGTCTCATTTAGCCATTTGTTAGCAACCGCCTTTTTAAGACAGGTAGAAGCATAAAAAAACATGAGTGGGGTATTTACTGCAGTATTCTTTTCTCCATGTGAAAAGAAAACTGAACTTACAGTATGTGTAAAAGAGGTGGAGTTCACCATATGAGCTTCTAGTTTCCCTGCTGAGTGGAAAATGTCTGGTATATGTTATTACTTTTGTAAGGATCCTTAAAGTTTAGTGCTGCCTAATCTGAGGAGGTAGTTTTAGGTTCTAGTTGAAATGCACTGCTCTTCTGGAGTAACTGTCATGTACACTGTGAATGCCCAGGTTAGCAGTGCTCACAAGTGACCCCTACAGAGTGAGGCCATTTTTTTCTTGGCAGGTGCTTATTTATTATGGAACGTGTCTGTTGAGCAATTGTAGCAGTTCAGTTGTTTTTAGGTTTGAACAAAAAGTAACCTTTAATCCTTATGTCTTCTCTCAGAGACCTAGGAAGTGGCTCCAGCCTGTCCTTCAGTAGGCTTTTCTATGACGAACACTGGTCGAAACATCGTGTTGTCACCTGTCTGGACTGGTCCCCTCAGGTGAAGCCTGCAGTTTTGTGTGTGTTACTTTGAATGTGAAAGTGAATTCAAAACCTCACTGAAACTTTACAGTTTGTAAATGTGTGTTTGTGTTTGGAGAGAGAGGGATTAGCTCTATCACCAAATATTTGCAGGGCTCTTTATTGATGTCACGTGTCTGTGTCCTGTTCTCTGTGCTTTCTCCTTTCCTTTCACTCACTCCCAGTACCCTGAGTTGCTGGTTGCCTCCTATAACAATAATGAAGATGCTCCTCATGAACCAGATGGCGTTGCCCTGGTGTGGAACATCAAGTTTAAGAAGGCCACGCCAGAGTACATCTTTCACTGTCAGGTACCTCACACATACTTCCAGAACTGTAGAATATGATGGTGTCCATGATGGCAGGTTGCTGTAGAGACTAAGTTAGGGTTGCCATTTCTTTTTTCCCATTGTGGGCACTGAGTATGAACTGCACAGAGCTACATGATGGAAAAAAACAAGGAAAAAAATTCCATCTTTCTCTTATCCCCTTGTTTGCCTCTCACTCAAAAGCTCCATCCTTCTCTGTTTTTCATCTGGCAACCCAACAGTCCTGCAGCTTTTTCCTGTTTGCTACTGTTATACAGTAGTATAACAAGCAGTACCCTTGTGACTGAAAAATTAAGAGTGAGAGAACGGGAAATAAAAGGTTGTTCCACATGCATTCATTTGACCCTCCAAATTGGATTATAGCTGAACACTGCCAGTGGAGGCTAGTTTAATGGAAGAAACTGAGGTTTTGTTTGGAAGGAAAGTCATTGATGGGTGTCATGCTAATAGCAAATGACACTGAGAAAATGGTAGAAGGAAGGAGGGAGGAGTGAAGTGATGAAGGATTTGGTGTGAGGGCTACACAGCTCCCAAGGGACAGGCAAGGCCATATACATATGTCTTGGTAGTGAAATAATGTGGCCTACCACTTCCTAATCCAGCATTGCCACATGTGATGCTAGCTCTAATGTCAGCGGTGCCATTTTCCAATAACTGACACATCTGTTTCATAAACATCACGGTACTGTAAATATGGAAATATACCTGTAATAGCATTAATACCACAGGTAACCACTTTGACTCACTGCTTAGAAGTAATATTAGAAATGCACACACTTATTCTCACAGTGACACTTCATTCAAACAGAGAAAATAGATTTTCTCTCTTTTGATCAAACACACAAAGAGGCTCATATTCCTGCAGACCACGATGAGTGCACATACTGTATTTCAATGCGAAGCTTGCCATAAAAGTTGAGCTCCACAATGGATTTTTAAAGCACTCCATTATTTCACTGCTCCATAATTTATGTTGCTGCTGAAATCCATGTGGTCTTACAGATAAGATTACAGCTATGAATCTTGTAGCTGTAGGATTGAGTAGTTCTTCCATGCAGGTTTCTGACAGGATACATTCCGTACATCTGACTTTATTAACAGTGGTTTCTGAGCATGCCGATCTGTGAATTGTCAGCGTTAAACAGTAATTTGCCAACAAGGATATTTGTTTAAGCAGCTGATTAAATGCTCAGTGTTTCAAAATCAGCTGCAAATGTGTACAACAGAGTTGAGGTGTGTTCAAGTTTGAATGGAAATAAAGGAACAAAAACACACTGGCACCTTTTTGCACTGAAGTATTGGGAAATTTCAATCTATAACAGAATGAGGTATCGTCGTCGTAATCTGTTTTGATTTTGAAGACATACAAACCACTTCTATGAACACATTCGGTTTGGTTTAAGTGAGTGTTTACTGGAAAGATGTGCTGTAGACAAAATGATATCAGATGCAGAAAATAAAGAAGATAGACTGAGAGACAACAGAATCTTTCAAGTGCTCCTCTTTCATTCCCCCCTCCCCATGTTAGTCAGCGAGTTTGTGTGGCCTGGAGCTGCGCCACAGTGTATTCATGAGGGGAGAAAGAAAAGTGAATGACAGAAAACAGATAAACATAGAAAGCAAGACAGAGTGGGCACAAATGAGCAGAGATGAACAGTGGGAGATAAAATTCAAATACAATAAGAGAAGGAAAGAGGAGGTTGTATGTCATTTGGCATCAGCACTGAGTCCTCCTGTTGCTGTTGGATTTGGATGAAAGGCACACTGGAGTGGTTAGACGAGAGTCAAGAGGATAAGAAGAATGAGTAGATTGCATTTCTTTCTTGCTCCCGTTCTCTCTGCAGGCCTTTTGCAAACAGAGTCGTGACTCTGTAGTTATTCGAGGATCAGATGGCTTTTAATGTGTGAGCATGTTCTGCCATTTAACCCCTCAAACCACAGGGCCGGGTGCCTCTTCCTCTCTGTTCCTCTGCTCTCTCCTGTTTTTCTTTTTCACCTAGATGAACAGAGGCCCGGCCATGTGCTTTCTCCCTGCACCCCTTGTCCTCCCTGTAATCATGCCAACTCCCTGTTTATTGTACAAATGTGGTACGCACATATATATGTGAGATGGGTTGGCATGTCCCAAGAGACAGTTTAGTGGCTTTTCAGCCACATTTTTTTTTCTGACTTGTCCACAGAAGCAGCTTTTATCAGTTGGATGGATAGGTAGATGGCTGGATTCTTCATGTGTGTATGCATGTGTTGCACGTGTGTGGGTGTGTTTGGGAGGGAGTACAGATATAAAAGAATGACAGTGCTGGGCTGGTATTGGGGTTTGTGGTTGAGGTCTGATACAGCAGGAGCTTTATTGTATAAGACTATGGTTTGTAGAAGGCTTCGTATTTCAGATGGGGTTTTAGTGAGGTCAGGCTTCTATGCAATGCAAAATTGTCCTTTTTTTCCAAAAGAAAATTTCAATTCGTAATCAGGGTTTAAATGTTTTTGCCTAACCAAGGGTTTGACGATCTCAGTTCTGTACATTACAGTGTTATATGTTCAAGGCGTTGTCCAAGGGTTGTATTTTGAAACAAAAAGAATATGGAAGATTAACCATGGTTATAAAAAAAACAGTTTACTTTCACTGTTTACAGTGAAAACTTGAGTTTGCCTAAGCATTGTTGGGCTTTATGTACCCGACATGCTGTTATGGTGGAACGTAAATCATTTAAAAGCTGGTGTTTGACTATGGGAGGAGTATCAGTGTCGCTTTGGGCAAGTGCAGTCTGGAAATCTTGCACAAATATTTTGGCAATTGGTACATGTGTTGTAACATTACATTGTAATGCAGTAAGTAGGGAGACAGGTCCTGGATCGGCAAATGTGGCTCCCATGTGGAACAAACAGTCACAGAAATCTCACACTTATTTTTTCATCTCTTCCTTCTTTGCTTTCCTCTTATTTTTAGCTCTGATCTTTTCTACCGTACACTTCTTTATCAGAACCATCAACAGATTACTGGCCTTGCACACATTACTGTTAGTTTCTAATAATGCGGATAATGAATTTAGACTCCAATTCTGACTGCGTCGTTCTCTGTGGCACATAATATAAAATACACTTTAGATTGTATTTAACATGAGGAATATCAAACCTATGATCAAAACACTTTCATTAATGGACCCACTTTTACTTTTGGTAATTTATTTGTCTTTTACTCATTAATTTCAGTTATGACATATCTTTTTTGTAATTTATTCTTTATCCTGGTTTATGCCAAGAAATGCATTTTAAAAATTCAGAGTATTATAGTTCACTGACTTTGCTTTCTTCAAGATAGTGAATAAATAGCATCTGAAATTACATAGTATCCCAGTATTCTGGAAAACCCTTTATAATCCCCCGTGGCAGTTTCATGACCCCACTTCACAAGCCATTGATCTTTAATATAGTGAAGGACGTGTGTGATTCATCAGTGGGTGGGTTGGGCTTGTACTTCAGCAAAGGGCCTGCCACTGCTGTGCACTCTGGTACCCGTTTGAGCGTGCCTCCTCACATCCAACAGTTGGGCCCATCATCACCCTATCCCAGTTGGGTCCAATCTTGTAACTCCACACCAGCCTCTCAAGTGGGCAAAGTCACACCACATTAAAGGCCCTGTTTGACTTAAAACCTCGACTGAATCCCTCCCCCCAAACCACAAGCCTCCCTGTAACAACCCCTGCTGCTACTGTCATATCCCATTGGACTCAGTCATATTTTTATTAATATCTTGCTGCCTCACATCGCTCCCTAGGCCTTTGGCACCCACAGAAAGGTCGAGTAAGAGAAGCAGAGCAAGCAGGGCTCAGTTGGGGGGGTAGAGAGTGTTGGAAAGAGAGAACAGTGAAACAGCATTATTCACAGGACTTGTCTGAATTATAACCCATGTACAATTACACTGGAGGATGAAGCAGCACTGTCATTTAAAGCTTAGCAGAGAAAACCCCTTAACTTCTCGCTGAGTTAAGACTGTGTGATTTAATTGGATAAGGTTAAATAAATACAGTATGTTAATATGCTGCACCATGAACAGACAGTTTCTCCCGGGGGTCATACTAACTGTAAAAGTGTCTATTACTCACTGGGAAATTCTTACAGGTGTCTCCCTGATGACCTGATGACCAAATCCAAATACATGTACCAATTGAAATGTAAAGTACTGACTATCAAAATTTGTTACTTTTGAAATGTTTCCAACTTAAGACTGAATTCAGTAATGTTTTTATCTAATACTCAAGCATTTTGCATATTGTGTTAAATGGAAAAACAAGGTTTTAGGAAAAGTTCAACATTCTGGGAAATACACTTTTCCACTTTCTTTTCAAGACTTAGATGAAAAGAGAGAGAGCACTTTCACATCTGTCTTTTAAGGTTGAAGATACAGCCAGGAGACGGTTAGCTTGGCTTAGCATAAGGACTGGAAACAGCTAGCCTAGCTCTGTGCAGAGGTAACAATTTGACAAACCAGCTCCTCTAACGTGTTTAATTTGTATGAGAGCTGAAGTGTTAGAACAAGGAGATTACTGTATGTACTGGACTATGTCTTCCAGGTGTCTTTTCGTGTCATCATCGTGAAGTTTATAGGCAACCAAAGCTGTGCAGTCCCCACAACTTTTAGGGTCAGAATAGAATGAACAGAGGCACATTTGTGAGAGTCAAACAAGCATTATATTTACAACTTAAATCCAACAATAAAGCCACAAACCAGCAAGAGTGAAAATATCAGCCAAGCAAACCAGAAATGGAAAATAAAGGGAAAGAAGCACTAGGAGGGAGAGAGAAAGGCCCATTTGTGTTCCCAGAGCCTTGTCCTCATGCTTTTGCTCTGTCTAACCCTCATTCTTTGCCTGGTGAAATGGAGACTTGGCTTGGTATTTCTCTCTCCTTGCCAGAAACCACAGAGTGACAAAATGCGTGGGGTGTCATAAACGAGTGAAGCCAGGGGGAGAAAGGTGGTTAGG